TACTGGTAAAACAGAACAACAATTTTCTTCTATTTCCGATGTTTTTTTTTGATAGTCAAAAAATTTATCTTGCAAGGATTAAAGCATTGTGGGCAAAAAAAAACATTACTAATTTTTTTCATAGAAGTGTCATATTTCAACTAAAACCTATGACGATAGCTCTTATTGTTTTCTCAGATGTGCTTATTGTCGACTAGGAAGTATTCAGTTAGAATTACATTTAGACCTCTGGAAGTAAACGAGTATCATGTTCTTTCTATATGTAACGTGTATGACAATTTCCAAATGATCTCAGTTACCTTTTTTTTTCTCTGGCATTTATATTTAAGAGTGCAGATTATAAAAATTGATATTTTTGGTTTTAACAATGCTGTATGATAAATTTTTTCAATTAGTATAAAGTCGAGAATAAAGTTGGACTCAATTACAAATGTCATAGATAAGTAAATTGTTTGTTCCTTTGTAATAATTGAAGTCTAAAAAAATGATCAAGATCACGCCTATTCGTTGATTATAAAAAATATTAGAAATAAAAATATGGATATTATAAAAGTCTCACACATTAAGCTGTATGAGTCATTTCGTATTTTGTTCTTCCAATCCACTTTCATACTATGATACTGATGAAATAACACTGAATGCAAAAGTTCCTCCACAACTGTCGGTTTATTTTCCGTCGGCTGAAATATATGTAAATACAATCGAAAATACTTATACGAAATCTACATCGAAAGCTCTCTCTAACTGTATGTTCAGAAAAGTTCTATGATGTGTTCTCTTTTAGTAAGAAACACACCTTTAAAAACCTCTAAAATCAGGTCTATCAAAGGAAACTTTTTTCTATCAGATTCATACATGTTAAACTTAACACTTGAAAGTTCAATTGAAGTTAAGTTTTAAGTTTTACACTATTGAGATTTCGAAGAACAAACAGTTATCGTGAACTTTGACAGATAAACTTTAGTATCTATCAGTGAACAATATAGCACTTGACAGTCTTTTTTTTTCTATAAATAAAATCAACATAAGAGAAGAACGAAATTGTGTTGAAAGCGGAAAGGTTTAGATATATTTGTTTTGATCAAAAAAGTATTATATAATATTTGGCATGCAATGAATGCTTCTGAAAAAAAAAGATATTGAAGATTCATTATTCACAGTGATACTACACTATGCAATTTGTATTTTTGATAGATTTTTTTGTTCATGAAGAACGAATGCAGAGAGATTTTTAACATAAATGGAAAAAAAATCTTGTCAAGGGCATTTAATTGATATCATATTGAATATGTGTATTGTAAAAGATTCAACCACAGACAATCATTTATTCATTGAATTTCCTTCTTTTTTGGTGATAAATAAATTCGTATTACTATGCTTCAAAATAATAATAAGGTATTACGTTAAACTCAAATGTTGATAAAAGTAAGTCTCAATAACCTTTGTCGTATACATTGTTTTTATATTTGACAAACATATTCGGATCACACAATCATTCGATTTAGTTTTCTATCTTAATTAACTATGAGAAGGATTGAATTGAGCAATGATGAAGAAATGATCGTTACTAATAATGACTTAACTCGATGCAAGATTTATTTATTCAAGGACAAAGAGAACAATAAGCAGCACGTTAGAGAAAACAAAAAGGAAAGAGTGTTTGAGAGAATGATAGATTCATAGCATGTTCAAACATTAATGATCAGTCATACATAACGAAGCGAATACTACTTCATTAAGCTCCTGCATTATTCTTGGTTAAGTTTTAAGTGAAGTAGGAGTTGTAATTGAAACAATGATTGTTGTTGTATTTTGGGTTGTAGTTGAAGGCCTAGTTGTTGTTGTTATGAATAATAGACCAGTAATATTAGATATATCTTGGTGAAGAATTTCTAATCTTTCATTTAGATCATTGAATCGTTTATTGAGAGTGCCAAGAGTTGCAGCTGCAAGAGCAAAAGTAATTATTCCAAACAGACCAACTATACTCAATGCAATCAGAATATGTATTGTGTTTTGTTCTCCTAAAGCCATTATTAATTCTTCTTTCTAAAGAAAATTCCGAGATTTGAGTGAATAAATTTTGTAGTTTCTAACAATCTTTTTTATTCAAAATACTAACAAAGCAAACAAGTATGTATACATATAGATGACTTAAAACTGAATGTCAGAATTGCGTAGATTTATCTCTAATGATCAAAATACTTTTATTGATGTTGATTTTCATCAAAGAATTAAATCTAGTTATAAGGATAAAAATACAAATTTTCTGTTGTTTGATTACTTATTAATGGATTAAGTATTTATTTTCATAAAAAAAATATTGATCAAAAGCTTTGTTTTATACTTCGTACATAACGATATATACGTTTTGGCAAAGATTTATATTCAAGCATGTAAGAATCGAAGAAAATAATGCTGTTGTTGTGGTGATAATCAAAATTCGTATCGAACTCATAGTATTTCAATTTATTCTCACGTATCAATTGTTATTGTAGATTGAAAAACGTAAAAGTACAATATATTAGTTTTGGAAAAAGTTTATGAAATATATTTGAGCTAATCTTCGCCATAGAACAGAATTCAATGTTAAAAAAAAATAGCGCAAAAGTAGCTAAGAAAAAATTTTTACGGTTATGAGAACGATATTAAGGTTTGGAAGATTTTTCAGGTCATATATATTTGTATTTTTCTCTCTGAAAAATGAACATGAAAACTATTCGTTGAAATCTCGTTATTTCTGACTTTTATTATACTCATCAAATTTCTAAGATCGATTACTATTTATCTCTTTCATACACAATACATTTGATAAGAATATGCAAACACAGAGATAAATTATACTTGACAGTCGATTCAGATCACAGTATTAAAGAATGTATTGACTACAAATATGCAAAATACCAGTCAAGTTAAAAATTTTATTATACATAATATTTGTTTTTAGACAAATGGCACGCTTAACTTGATATTTAATTAAACAACAATGTGCATAAAAGGAATATCAACTAGATGATCGGAATGTTGCACTCATTTGTGATGAATAAAAGAAAAAATGAATATAGTTTGTTAAGCTAACAAATCTAAATATAATGTGCTTTTTCTTTTCTCTACTTCTGTTGAATTTGATCTTTAGTTCATTTCTGACAAATGACAAATAAACAGTTATGAATATCATTTCTATTTTACTTGTCTCTTTGATTCAATTAAATCTAGTAAAGTTTCACTAGAATATTAATCATGTGAAGTTAGACTAGAATCATTTGAACGAGATAATGTAGATACATTTCTATAATAACATTTTCGTTCCCTATCACGTTTTAATAGATTTTTGAAAACCAAATGTAGTAACCAAATTTTATGAATAGACTGTTATTTTTCAACGATGATCGATATGGTACCTGCCGTTTTTTTTCTTCTATACATGTAACCGACATAAGTCAAGAAAGAAATTGTATTAAAAGCGGAAAATTTTAGATATTTTTGTTTTGATGAATGAACTATTGTATGATATTTAGCATCTCATGGACGTTTTTGAACGCAAGGTATCGAAGATTCATTATTCATCATGAGACTACATTATGAGTTCGTCATTATCTATTGGTATCAAAGATAAGTGAATGACCTATAGTTTTCAACCTATTATATTTTTTATATCGATATTTTTAATGAATAAAAATAAATAGACAGAGATTTTCAACAGAAAGTAAAACAATCTTTTCCAGTGAGTATAATCGATATCAAATGGAATATGCTCATTTTAAAAGTTTCCACAACAGACAATCATTATTTCATTTAATTTCCTTCTTTGGTCGTAATATTGGATGTAACAAAAATT